AGTTTCAGTTTCAGTTTCTTTCGCCGTTCAAGATGTCCGTTAAAGTTTAAATCTTCCGGACAAAATTAGAAAAGTGCCGGTCAAAGGTCTTCTTTGTTATTTATTGAGCTTTAAAACAAATGAATAACGACTCTATATAATAAAACACGGAGATCTCTTTTTCTCCCCCTCTTCTGACAGCCCAGCAGCTGATCAGAGCACGTCTCCCCTCTCCTGCAGTGGGGCGTGGTCAGCAGAATCAGACCCGTAGACAGCAAACAGCACATAGAGCGAAATGAGGCATGGCTAAAATGCATGATCTGTTTGGTATTTTGAAAACAGAAACGTATAAATATACCTTATATAGGTATGGCCCTACAATATATCATTTAAATATAGCATGATAGGTCCACTTTAAATAAAAGTACTAAAGTATTGGATCAAATTATAATTAAAGTACCAAAAGTCAAATTACTTATTATACACAATGGCCCTTTCAGAATCATATTTATTAAATGAATGGATTATGATTATTGATGCATAAATGTGTTTATACCAGCTGGTAAAGGTGGAACACATTTTAATGATATATATATTGCTGCTGGACCTTATAACCTGTTATTATATGTTAATGTTTATTTATTCGTTTATTTGCATTTTGAATGAGCGATTAATCTGAAGCAGTCAGATAAATGTAGTGGAGTCAGGGGCGGATCTAGACAAATATTCATTGGGTGGCAAGAGGGTGGCAGGAGATTTTGAGGGGTGGCATCCCCTGGCAGAAGTATATGCTGATTTAATCGCAGTCATATCAATCAATGTTAACTTGGAAAGGCACAATATTAATATTTTAACTCAATAACATTTGGTGACATTATTGTGGCACATCAGTAAAGCCTTATGCTGCGTTCACACCGGACGCGATGCGATGTTTGGGGGCGGCGCGATTGCATGTAAAGTCAATGCAGAGACGCGGACAGACGCGAATTCGCTCCGACGGCGCGCATGAAGCGGTGGACGCGGCGCGAATCACGCGATTGAGGCGATTGAAGGGGGCCGCGTCAAACGCGAGAGTTCAATTTTTTCAACTCGAGCGTCAAATTCACGTGACGCGTTCTCGCGGAAGCCAATCAGCGGTGAGGATCTCAGCCTGCCGTCACTGATGTTCAACCAGAAAACATCAGCCGTTAGCTGTTAGCAGTTAGCACACAGAGCTCACAGCTCCTCATATCTGTTCAGAAACTGGACAAAAGTTAAACAAGTACAAACCACAGACTGTCTGTGTCATGGAGAATACAGTCGCTGCTTTATTTATGTCTGTAGGTTGTTGTTATGAGTGTGGAATGAGCATAGACAACGTTAGCTTACCCTGGTCGACCCGATCTTCATTCAGAAAACAAGCATTTTAAAAGGTTTTTCTCCTGCCGTCTTGTCTGCAGACTTGTCAAGCATTAATTCATGGTTTTTACTAACCGGTATCAGTATGTTGTTACTTCGGCATCATTTAGAAACGTGTATTACAATTTAATCACGGTAAAATATGTTAATTTTGTTGTAGTTGTAGCTCCCGAGCCAGCGCGTCTTGTTTGAATGATGCGAGTAAACACAGCTGGCAGCCGCGGTGAAACTCGAGCGTTTAGAGCGATTAGAGCGAAGCGAATATTCGCATCGCGTCCGGTGTGAACGCAGCATTACATATAAATATATAAGGTGGCAGACATAATTGAATGAATTTTAACTGAACAATAACTGAATTTGTTTCACTCTTAGACCAGCAGGGGAACCAAATCTATGCAGACTGCTGCAATAAGTATATTAATTAACTGTCTCATCGATGTTTGTCTGAATGAATATGATAATATTAACAATCATATTATTCCTATCAGCTGTCAATCACTGTTATGATTCACATATTCATTTATTATTGAATAAACTATATTTTTTAAGGAGGAGTTAATGATGAATGTTCCTCAAGATGCTTGCTCACCATCCTTCAAATTTGCAGTGTCAGTATATAACACTGCATACTGATATACACCTGAACATCAGCAGGAGAGGACTCTTTAAAGTAGAGACACTACATACTGATATACACCTGAATATCAGCAGGAGAGGACTCTTTAAAGTAGAGACGCTACATACTGATATACACCTGAACATCAGCAGGAGAGGACTCTTTAAAGTAGAGACACTACATACTGATATACACCTGAACATCAGCAGGAGAGGACTCTTTAAAGTAGAGACACTACATACTGATATACACCTGAATATCAGCAGGAGAGGACTCTTTAAAGTAGAGACGCTACATACTGATATACACCTGAACATCAGCAGGAGAGGACTCTTTAAAGTAGAGACACTACATACTGATATACACCTGAACATCAGCAGGAGAGGACTCTTTAAAGTAGAGCCACTACATACTGATATACACCTGAACATCAGCAGGAGAGGACTCTTTAAAGTAGAGACACTACATACTGATATACACCTGAACATCAGCAGGAGAGGACTCTTTAAAGTAGAGACACTACATACTGATATACACCTGAACATCAGCAGGAGAGGACTCTTTAAAGTAGAGACACTACATACTGATATACACCTGAACATCAGCAGGAGAGGACTCTTTAAAGTAGAGACACTACATACTGATATACACCTGAACATCAGCAGGAGAGGACTCTTTAAAGTAGAGACACTACATACTGATATACACCTGAACATCAGCAGGAGAGGACTCTTTAAAGTAGAGACACTACATACTGATATACACCTGAACATCAGCAGGAGAGGACTCTTTAAAGTAGAGACACTACATACTGATATACACCTGAACATCAGCAGGAGAGGACTCTTTAAAGTAGAGACACTACATACTGATATACACCTGAACATCAGCAGGAGAGGACTCTTTAAAGTAGAGACACTACATACTGATATACACCTGCACATCAGCAGGAGAGGACTCTTTAAAGTAGAGACATTACATACTGATATACACCTGAACATCAGCAGGAGAGGACTCTTTAAAGTAGAGACACTACATACTGATATACACCTGAACATCAGCAGGAGAGGACTCTTTAAAGTAGAGACACTGCATACTGATATACACCTGAACATCAGCAGGAGAGGACTCTTTAAAGTAGAGACACTACATACTGATATACACCTGCACATCAGCAGGAGAGGACTCTTTAAAGTAGAGACACTACATACTGATATACACCTGAACATCAGCAGGAGAGGACTCTTTAAAGTAGAGACTCGACATACTGATATACACCTGAACATCAGCAGGAGAGGACTCTTTAAAGTAGAGACTCTACATACTGATATACACCTGAACATCAGCAGGAGAGGACTCTTTAAAGTAGAGACACTACATACTGATATACACCTGAACATCAGCAGGAGAGGACTCTTTAAAGTAGAGACTCGACATACTGATATACACCTGAACATCAGCAGGAGAGGACTCTTTAAAGTAGAGACTCTACATACTGATATACACCTGAACATCAGCAGGAGAGGACTCTTTAAAGTAGAGACACTACATACTGATATACACCTGAACATCAGCAGGAGAGGACTCTTTAAAGTAGAGACACTGCATACTGATATACACCTGAACATCAGCAGGAGAGGACTCTTTAAAGTAGAGACACTACATACTGATATACACCTGAACATCAGCAGGAGAGGACTCTTTAAAGTAGAGACACTGCATACTGATATACACCTGAACATCAGCAGGAGAGGACTCTTTAAAGTAGAGACACTACATACTGATATACACCTGCACATCAGCAGGAGAGGACTCTTTAAAGTAGAGACACTACATACTGATATACACCTGAACATCAGCAGGAGAGGACTCTTTAAAGTAGAGACTCGACATACTGATATACACATGGAAATTAGCAGAATATGTCCTCTTTAAATACAACATGAGTAAAAGTAATTAGTTACATTCCACCACTGCAGTATTCTGAGTAAATAGCTCAAAATCTTGACTCGGTTTTTGCCTTTGACCTGAAAAGTCTAAATTGTGACTTGGCATTACATCATCTTTTCACCATGGTCATATTTATATGTCCATTTCGAAATAATCGTGTTAATCCCCTTTAGGCACATTTGTAATTTGCGATAATGGGCTACATAACTAAAATCTGATTGCTTGATTATTTTTTAATGTTTTGATGTTGTTATTTTTCTGACAGTTATGAACTTCCATATAATACTAACCAAGAATATCCAGATAATGATTACAATGATTAGTATTCACACATTTATTAAGTAATGAGGTTTCAAATTAAATATTGTTTGTGTCCACAGAGAGCATCAGCTGGGCTAAGGAGGACAACAGCTGAGCTAACGGATGGTAACCAAGACAACGGTAGCTCCAGCAACAATAACCCTGTAACCGACTCTCCCACTCCTATAGAGCCAACAAGTTCAGATACCATGGAGATCAGCTCATCACGACCGCTAACAGACATGGAGAGAGAAAACTTGGCTAGCTGGCACAGCCAGGAAGTGCTCCATGGGGGGCAGCAGCCAATCACAGATGAGCAGGACGAGGAAGAGGCTGCAGAGAAAGAAAATGGAAAAATAAATGAAGATGAAGAGTGTGATTACCTTGTTTTTGAGATAGGAGAGCAGACGGGATGGCACAATGGAGAAGGAGATGAAGGAGGACAAGACACAGAGACAAAAGGAGAGGAGGAAGAATATGGAGGAAGAGGAGACGCAGAAGGAAAGGAAGAAGGGACAGGAGAAACAGAGAGAGAAGATGAAGGTAGAGGAGACACAGAGAGAGAAGATGGAGGAAGAGGAGAAACAGAGAGGAAAGATGGAGGAAGAGGAGAAACAGAGAGGAAAGATGGAGGAAGAGGAGACACAGAGAGGGAAGATGGAGGAAGAGGAGACAAAGAGAGAGAAGATGGAGGAAGAGGAGACACAGAGAGGGAAGATGGAGGAAGAGGAGACAAAGAGAGAGAAGATGGAGGAAGAGGAGACACAGAGAGGGAAGATGGAGGAAGAGGAGACACAGAGAGGGAAGATGGAGGAAGAGGAGACACAGAGAGGGAAGATGGAGGAAGAGGAGACACAGAGAGGGAAGATGGAGGAAGAGGAGACAAAGAGAGAGAAGATGGAGGAAGAGGAGACACAGAGAGGGAAGATGGAGGAAGAGGAGACACAGTTGAGATGAAGGAGGATGCTCTGTCAGAGCTCCTCTTCTTCAGTCCTTCAGCATCAGAGCCCCTGACGGCCACCCTTGATCCTTTAGACACCTGGGGTCACGACCCCGACAACAGAGATGACCTTAGCGACAGTCACCTTAGCGACTGCCTCCAAGCTGAGCTGGCTGTCGTGTACTCGGACAGCGACGCAGGGGAGGACCAATGGGCTGTCTCCACGCCCTGTGATGTCACTAACCAGGAAGAAGCAGATGCAGAGGTTCATGATGGAGAAAGCATGGAAGAGGAGAAAGGCTATGAGGCAGAAGTAGAGAGTGTAACAGAGGTGCAGAGAAAGGAGGAAGAGGAGGAGAGGAGGAATGATGATGAGGAGCAGAGGAGGTCGGGGAGAGATGTTTTCATGCGGACTCCTTCTGTCAACTCCACTGCCAGCTCCATAGACCCTGACAGGAAGGTAAGACATCTTTTATTGAAGTTGCAATACTCCCACAGAAGATTTGATGATTGAAGAAAGGGTTGAAGGTAAACTTCAGGTAATGCAGAGGCAGTGCAGTCAGAGTAGGACCTTTATAGCCGTGGAAAATGATGGTATTGTGGGGGAAACTTCTGAAGCAATAGGAGTCAGGACTCAGAGAGACACGAGGAGAGCTGGAGCTTTGATGGCAAACACTGACGGTTTATTTGGAGCTTCGGGCGGAGAATTCACAAGACATGTCACGGGCCACGATCTGACCACACGGTTGAGATGCCACAATCAATTCTGAAGAGCCCTCCTGTAGCTCCAGGTTTTAACTAGTTCAGAGTGTAATGATCAACACTCTTCAATAGAGAGACTAAACAGCTGAGGACACTGAATCACATTTGTTGTCGCTTATGGCTCGGGGTCATTGTGACGAAGGTAACTTCGTCACTGTGGACTGACGGCTTCGGGGCCTTGTAACCCAGCACTTTGGTAGTGAACAGTTTTGCACTTTATTAGCGTGATTGCACAGTACCGTTTGGCATGGCATATTTGCACATGTTATATAATTTATACTAATTATTGAGATAGTATTTATTAAAGGATTAAACCGTATTAATTTAAATGTCGTCTGGCAGATGCTGGTCGAGTCCTCGGCTCCGCCTTGAAAAGATAGGGGAGTTACCGAGAGCGCCGAAAGTGTTTGCTGGTGTAGAATGACAGCGGTTAAGAATAATCAGGGTGCAAATAATATGTTGGGGGTGTGTATAAATCATAACGTTAAGTGGCATTAATTGTACAAGTGCTGACTGTGTTTAGTTGGGTTTGTATGTGTGTTATTCTGTTCAGTTATATGTTTGTGTTTGGAAAGTGTTCCCCCTCCCGTTTTGTCTGTTGCTCCTGATTATGTTCACCTGGTGCCCTGTGTTGGCTCCTCCCCCCTCACCTGTGTCTTGTTAGCTTGATTGCACATGTGGGTATTTAGGCTCTGTGTTTCCTGTTTTGTGGGGTGAGATCTTTGTGGCTGCAGGCTGTGTGCAGGGAGAAACAGCAGATTGAGGCTGTGAACTATGCACATGATTTTAATAAAGGCCCACACCGGGTTATTTTTAGACGTTCTGCCTCTGCCTCCTTGCTTGGTCGGGCCGCTCAACGGTCAGCTTCACAATCATCTACACCCCGAGAAGGATGTGTTCCAGGTGTCCCACAACAATAACTATCTCTCACCGAGAGTTGCCCGGTCACAAACTGGTAACAACAACAACTTGCTAGGGCAGCCCCTCCTTATGGGAGATAATGGCTGATCAAGGTTGGTCAGCTGCATCAGAGGGCGAAGGAAGACATGCAGGGGAAATGATTCCCTTACAGGTGTGACGTTTGTCTGGTGCATTTCCATGAAGTGCGTCCAATTGACATGCTGCAGAGTGCCTGCAAATATCAACGCTGAAGGATATTTGAATCGCTCGGTATTATAGGCAAGGTGTTTACATCTCTGTTTCCAAGATGGAGATTGGGGGAGGGGGATTTTTACTTGGAACAACAGCCAAATGCAGTTTATTAACTGACCTGTACCCAAACCTACGGTGGCCGATCTGTGCTACAACGGCCCAAAACACTTAGTTCTGGAGAAACGCACTTTCAAAACTGATGCAAATATAAAAACCCTAATGTGCCAAAAGACATGCAAATGAAGACACATCTTTAAAAACTTGGCATCATATGCTCAGCATTTGGAAAACATTCGCCAACTTGATGAAACATGCGCAGTGTTTACTAAAAGCGTAAACAAAACACTGCAAATACAAAACACTGTTTTGGGCCGTTGTAACAAGTTTGCACCTGTGGGCCACCGTACAGACCTCCTCACTACAACACTTCAATGGGATTTGAGTGACCCCCTGTGAAACGTCTGTATGAGGCTCCTTCTTTAAAACAGCCGCATGTTTGCGCTTCACTTCCCTCTCTTCCGCAGAATGAGGAACTGTCGTAACTTTTTATAACCATAGTTTTGTATCAGAACATTTCGAAAACAAATAAATTAAATAATATTATTGTTGATGCGTAATGATGACGTTTCTTTTTCTTTAAACCTCTTCTTGTTATTTGATGTTTATTCGCTGCTTGGTTTTTGCCATAGCCACGGTAACAATTCAAAAATGTCAAAAAAAATCCACATGTCAGATATATTTAATCTTAATTGAAAAAAAAAATTACAATGTAACCTTCAAGTTGTAGTTGCAATAATACATGCTGGTTGAGTCAGGATGAATGCAGACTTCCTGTTGGATGGTTTAATAACCCAATGTCACTCACAACTACTTGGTTTGGAATGGAGATCATGCTAACCTGCAAACAAGGTGGAATCTAATGAAGGAAGTTGTCAATGAACCATATGGTGAATGGACTACATTTAATCTGTGTACTAGTAGTAGTAGTTACTAGTAGTAGTAGTTACTAGTAGTAGTAGTTACTAGTAGTAATCATGCATTCAAATGTTCTTTTATGGTGTGTTCTTTCTCCTCTGTGTGTTTTCATCTCATCTGAACCCCCCCTTCAGGTTCCTGCAGACTTCTGTGTCCGGATGGAGAGCCACAGTGAACATGTCTCCAACGAGCATGTGGACTTCCTGTTGGCCCGGCAGCAGTGGAGGAATATGGAGAAAGAGGTCAAAGGTCAGCCGATCCCCAAACCAGGGCTCAGAGCCCAGGGGAGCTTCCAGGGCACCCACACATCACTGTACCCCCCCACACGCAGCCCCCGACTCAAACACAGGTGAGAAATGCTAGAGCTATTTAAAAAAAACACAAACTGTGAAAAACACAGATAGCGCCCAAAAAGGACTCCAACTTGGTAATAACCTGTCAATCACAAGGTAAAACATACCCTGCTCTTTTCTTTATTTAATATAAATGGGAACATCATTTACCAAATGAAAATACTGTATTGAAGAAGACTTAAAAATTGAGAGTGAAACCTTGTACTCATAGGAAAGTGTTTACTAAGGTAAGTGAGAAGTACAGTAGGTTCATTTTGTCTTGACTTCTTTCTGCAGACAGGGGTCGCCCCCTGCAGGACATTATGGAGAATGCAGGTTAAAGCACCTCTACATTGACCCCATTGTCCCCAAATCAATGTAATGTAGAACACAGATTAGCATCAGTGAATGGGATGTGACCTTGATTGCTTATATCAACTCACAAATCAGGTTTCTCTTTACCCTACATCTTTGAATACTGATCACTAAGTGTGACATTTTAAACTGTAGCCTGATTTCAATGAACAACTGGAACAAGCTGATACACAATAAATGAGATGCTGTCAGATTCAGTGGGGAAATGTTTTTCACGTGAACCTTAACCTTTACAAGGAGGGGTCTCACCTGTGGCAGAAATGGTCTTTTATTTTACGATCATCTTATCCTAAGCTGTGTTTTCTCCTGTCCTGACAAAGGGAGATCCATCCGGCCCCAGTCCCCAGGGAGCCCCCCCTGGCCCACACCCTGTCCCCCAGTTCAGAGGACTCGGGCCTGGACGACGTGTCGTACCGCAGCCCGATGGAGGAGCCGGAGAGCGCCGTGGAGAGAGAGATCCGACTGACCCTGGAGAGAGAGGAGCGGCACCGCAGGGAGCGGGGGGGGGTCTCACACGGCCTCGCTATACCCAGGTAACCAGCATCCAGCTGACGGGCTACAGTATGATACCCAACCATTTTTTTTCTCGCCTTATATACTGTGGGCCTGCGCGCGCATTCAGGTAGGCTCGCCAACTCAGTATGTGAATGCTCGCATAGCATGCTTAAGGGTAGTACCCATAGAGTCCAGTAGAGGGCCCCACCTGTGCTTATATGACCAGGGTTACAATATGTAACCCACCGTTATATATTGTGTCAGTATGACCAGGTCGGTTGAGTCTGTGTTCAGTAGAAGTTTGATATGAAGCCAAACATGTACTGGACCGCGTCAAAGTAGAGTCAGCAGCCCCCTCTGACTGAACATAATAACACTGAGAGCCTCTCCACTAGGCAACAGTGAGTCCTTAAGCTGTTATTAGTACTACATCTGGGGAAAGTACGATGACAAAAATATTTAAAGGTGTATTATCTTTTCTACTAGCACGCATCTTTGACATTTTATAAAGTTATGGCTAACACTTTAGCAAACAGTTGCCTATCTCCATGCCCAAGACACAGAATAGTCACGTTTTAATTTGGTGTAAATGTAAGTCCAATATTCACTCTCTTTCATATCTGCTTTTTTTTAGCTCTTCTAAATTCTCCACTTTATACACCAGCTTATCATCAACGTTGTCTGCGTGCGTTCTGCTGCTGGCAGGCCGTGTGTCGTGGGTTTATCAGAGCAGTGCCTCCTGTTAACAGTGTGTGCGTGAGTCTGAAGGCTGGTAGTCCAAAACAAAGAGGTCAAAGAGGCTAAACTGCCCTGCAGAGTTGAGAACAGCTGAGTTGGTGACAATGACCTGTTGGTATCTCTTTGGTCCACTGTTAATGTGATATGGTACAGTTGAAAAGGAATCTAACTTCGATACAACCAACGTTAATATCTAGGTCGTCTCCGATACCGAGCTCCGGTGCTGATAAGGCTCCGGAAAACGGCCGTCCAATCTTTTTAGGACTAAACCCCCCAGAATCTACACGCAAGATCACCGTAATCTGCTTAGGGGGGGCGCTTACAGCGTGGCCTCTAACACCAGCTGCCCGTCGTATCCCTATTTCAGGCACTAAAGCGTCGGATGTCCGACCACCAGGATAACAAAACTGAGTGTGTAGTGTAGTAGGTGTTGGTGGGCTGGTAGAACCCCAGAGCAGTATCTAAACTGCCCCTGGAGGAGAAACCCTGTGTCGTTGGGAGACCCCCTGGTAATTAGGGCAGCTTCAGGACCCACAATCCCTAACCCCCACTTTTGATCCCCAGTTATACCAATTAAAACAATGCAAAAGTAATATCAAACACAGCCAGGGTCAAACATTAATATCACAGCAGTGACATTACCACATCAGCAGAGCATATGTCATATTTTAACATCAATCAAAACCACATCAACCACAGTGACCAATGTGAAACTATAGTTTAACCTTAGCAGAGTTTCTATTCCCCTTAAACTATTTAAAATCCAAATGATCAACTAATGTCAGCCTTTTCCAAGGAAGGGTGTTCTTACCTCACTCTAAGCCCAAGCAGATACCTTCAGAGACCACCAGAGAGACCAGGAATTGGGTCGAAATGTACAAAGTACAAACTGGTTTTATTAAGGTTTTAACAAAAATAGAGGATTTACAAGAATCCAAAAAATAACAAAGACACCAAGTCAAAATACAAAAGCAACAGGTTCACAAGTCAAATGTCCTAGAGCGGTCTAAAAGGGCCCAAGCCCAGGCCCAGGGCCCAAGAGCCAAGAGCCAGAATCAAACTTCCAAAGGTTTCCCCCAAGCTCTCAAGCCCTCCTGTTTCTCTTCACACATCCTCTTTTATAGTCTCTTGCCTCCTCCCTCTCTGCATCAGGTGGGTTCCCCTTTTCTATCTTTGAGGGAGAAGGAGGTCACATATGTTCAACTTTGACTTAATGAACAATTCAAAATGCAAAGTTCAAATAAAACAAATGAAGACTTATAGTAATAATATGCCATTTTAACAAGAGGGAATATGAACATTTTTCATGAAAGCAGAACACATTGTAATGTCATGTTTAGAATCAAGTTTTTTTCTTTAAACATTTTAATTTTAATTTATTAACAGAGATAATAGTTGGGAGAGGGAATTGTCAGTGACTATCGATGAGGAGACATGGGAAGATGTCTGGAATTATGCCAAAAAGATATCCATATGTGCCAGAGCAAAAGCAATACAATTGAGAATTATACACAGGATACATATATCCCCTAATCGCAGGCACTGTTTTAACCCCTCACTCTCCCCCATGTGTCTAAAATGTAAAACAGAAATAGGAACCCTGACCCATTGCTTCTGGTCATGCTGCAAACTTCAGAAATATTGGTCTGACATATTAGTTGAAATGGAGAAGATATTTCATAGACATTTAGATATGGACCCGCTGTCTTTGATTTTAGGTCTACCAGTCAAATCACTACCTACTGCTGCGAACAGAAGATTATATAATGTCCTTACCTTTGCTGCTAGGAAAAATATTTTATTACAGTGGATTAAGGATCAGGTCCCATCTCTCAAAGGCTGGCGCAACATTATATTTGAGTTGGTTCCCCTGGAATATCTCACAAATGTTTTACATGCCAAATCTGATCAGTTCTATCAAATCTGGCAGCCTTACTTAGATTTCCTTGGACCTGAATTGTCGGCTATTATTGTTAAAGGAACCTCATGAATCACCTGTCATCATAAATTCATCATCAATCATAAATGTGATACTCCTGTAACCACCTACATATGTGTATGTTTGAGACTGAGCTGTTTGTTTTTTGTAATTTTTTGTCTTTTTGCTTTGTAATTATGTACTTGTCATGTATGTGCTACGTCATTATTGTGTTGTGAAAATTGAAAAAATCAATAAATATATTGTTTAAAAAAAAACAAAAAACAGAGACAATAGGGACAGCTTGTCTCTACGATTCGCTGGCCCAGGAAGTTGGTTCAAATCTTTACGTAGTCCGTCTGCATCCTGTGTGCATTGTTGTCCTCAACCGTTGTAACCGTTGTCAAGGAGTCAAAAAGCACAACGCCTTCCTAGAATTGTGGTTGGAACTTTGATGCTTTGCTTGCACCTTCTAAAATGCATAATGTGCATAGGTCAAGAGTTCAGGATGTTCTGTCTAGTTTCACATGTCTGGTTTCACATGTCTGATAAGACATTATTGAGACATACATCCTTTCCATCAAACCAAATGATAGCCAATTTAACATTTTGTATTAATGGTAAGCTTAATAGAGGTAGGTGATAAAGGTGAGGTCTGTCACGGCCACTTAAACAGCAGATCTGTCAACACAGTATTTACAATAACTGCAGTAAAGCTCTATCTACTTAACCTAATCAAAAGTTCGGCCAAAATGAGCTGATTGATGCTTTTTGGTTGCTCTGTGTTCAGGCCCTCCACCCTGCAGACAGGACGGTCTCCACCCAGACCTCCAGCCTGCCGGACCCCCACCTTGTCCATCTCCCCCTCTCCATCCTGCTCCTCCTCCCTCCCACGGTCTGGCTACCATGAAATGACAGCCAACAACGTCATCATCCTGGAGCCGGACTGCTCAGGCTCCGCCTCCAGGAACCGCTTACTCTCCTCCGCAATCGGGGGCCTCTCTGATTGGCCAACAAGCCAGGACGCGATGCCATCTGCCAACGTCATTGTCGTGGAAACCTCCAATCTCATCATTCGCAGCGCTTCAGAATTCTGCCTAAGCTCCGACCCGGTGTCAATGGAACCGCAGGAGAGCACCTTCTCCTCCAATCCGTTCTTCAAGCTGCGCTCCATCAGCAGCCAGTCGCTGGTGGAGCAGGAGATCCGCATGGTGAGGCAGAGGGAGGAGGAGTGGAGGAGGCAGAAGGAGGAGATGTGGAGGAATAGGAGGGAGGAGGACTGGAAGAGAGGAAGAGAGAGGTACAACACGGTGCTGGTGTCTCCAGGCCTCAACGACAACATCAGCTTCAGCGGTACGTCATCCAGAGGTTGAAAGTAACTGAGTACATTTACTCAAGTACTGCACTCAAGTACAATTTTGAGGTACCTGTGCTTTACTTGTACTTCAACATTTTGCTACTTTGTACTTTTACCCCACCACCATTCAGAGGTAAATGGTGTACTTCTACTCCACTACATGTATTTAATACCTTTAGTTACTTTACAGATGTGGATGAATGATGTGAAATATAATCAAGTGTTAAATCAGACTTTAGTTCCACCTGGAGTAAATTCACAAGCTACCCTGCAGTATACAAAGTCATTCAAACTAGCTGCACCTTTACCAGCTTTGATAACACTTCAATGATCAATCATTATAAAACATATCATATATATTATTCTGAAATGGACCAATCTGCACAATGACTACTTTTACTGTCGCTACTTTAAGTATTTTCAAATGCTAATACTTTTGTACTTTTACTTGAGTAATATTTTGAATGTAGGACTTTTACTGTAACAGAGTAACTCTGGTACCTCTACTTTTACTCAAGTACAAGATCTGAGTACTTCTCCCACCTCTGCAGTCATCGCCACTGATACTATCAGATAGATGGATAGATACAGAATCAGAAGACCTTTATTCGTCCCACAGAGGGGAAACTCTTTTGTCACAGCAATGTATGAGAATCATTTCTTTAAAAGGGAATACATTTTTTTTTAATGACATATATTCAGAGGAGTATCTACACGCTATCAATAATACAGAATACATGAGAATACTCAATATACCAATCTACTAAAGGGACAGAAACATATAAGCATAGTGGACTAAATACCTTAGAACATTGTGAGCAGCAGCTTTTAATGAAAGGTCAAATATATCAGGAGCATTCCTGGGGGGTTGGAGTTCTGCTCAGGAATCTACAGGACACCAACCATCCAGAACTACTGAACCGCTGCCTCTATTATTGCTTCAGGGAAATTATGAATAGATATTCAAAATAACATGAGATATACTTCTAAGGCTTGCTGATGATGGTGTGCTCTCTAGTCAGTGTTGAACAGAACAAGAGTCACTGCTGAATGATACCTGAAAAAGATTAGGCTTCTGTCGGCTCTGATTATCTTATCAAACAGGACCTCTTTTGTGTTTTCCTTTCTTAGTTCCAGTACCAGAGGTTCCAGACAGATGTGCCTCCTCCCCTTCCTCCCCTTCCAGAAACCGCAAAATGGAACGATCCAGTTTGTCTTGTGACCACAAGGTTGGCACACACACACACACACACACACACACACACACACACACACACACACACACACACACACACACACACACACACACACACACACACACACACACACACACACGCACACACACAGTTTGGAGGTGAAACATATTTCAGACATATGTACTATGCCACCTTTTAATAGTTTTAAGTTTCACTCAAGATGGAACTTGACCAAGTTGGTAACACTTTATATTAAGGTACACAAATGAACCATCAACTAGTTGTTAATTAACATGCATATTAGCAGTATATTGGCTCTTTATTAGTCATTATAAAACACTTATTAATGCCTTATTCTACATGACCATATTCTACAAGTAATAAGCCATTAGTTGAGTTTTTCCTCAATAACCCTCTAATTAGTGCTTATTTGTTGCAAGTAAGGAAGTTGTTGTTCATGAGTTTTGGTCTCAATATGCTCTGCTCAATATGGGCCTAATAAGACAGTAGTACCACAAGAATAGTAATTCTCCCATCATAACACTTAACAAATATGATCTATTCTTATGTAACAAGACATGATAAGTGTTAATTGTGTCTAAATAACTCAAAATTAGGTATTTATATCTAAGAATATGTTCCCTATTTTAAAGTGAAGTCTTGTTCATAATCAATAAGCTAGTAGTTTGACTCTAAATAGGTATTTCTATCTAAGAACATGTTCCCTATTTTAAAGTGAAGTCTTGTTCATAACCAATAAGCTAGTAGTTTGACTCTAATTGACCTGAACAGGTTCCCTATTCTAAAGTTGCCTCCTCTTCACACTTTGTAAATACATTATAGCACACACCTACTGAAGTTAACCACAACAGTACATGAACAAAGTAGGCACACGTTGAAATATCTGTTTTATTAATGAACCACTAAAGAGAGGTTCAGACACATACCAAAACATGTCAAGTTTCACCAAGGCTGAGAACACACATGCAGCCTGAACTTTTTAATAAAAACATATTTTTAACAGAGTTTATGTATTTGTGATCATACTGTGGGACCTGCTTGTATGTTCTTACACAATAGGTGTACTGTTCTCTCTATGTGTTATACTGTCTCAGTGTGAACATAGATCAAACAGCCAGCCAAACTCTTTTGAGAGCCAGGGTAAGAGCAGCCATGCTCCTTTATTGACTTATTTGCAGTCCACTGACATTCAAACGAGTTAAACTATACACAAAGAAGTTACAAGGCACTTAATGATCTCATACATGCAAGTGTAACATACACAGATTAACACATAGGACCGCTAAGTGTAAACAAGGTAAATATAGCTAATGCTAGCTGTGCAATAAGCATGGCTAACGCTAGCATGTATGCGAATGCTAACGCATTTTCTCATTGTGTTTAAACATCTCAATGTCATCACATAAACACAATACATGTTACTAATCCTTACAGTGTAAGTGTAATGCTGTGTTCACACCGGACGCGATGCGACGTTTGGGGGCGGCGCGATTACATGTAAAGTCAATGCAGAGACGTGGACAGACGCGAATTCGCTCCGACGGCGCGCATGAAGCGGTGGACGCAGCGCGAATCACACGATTGAGGCGATTGAACGGTGCCGCGTTAAACGCGAGAGTTCAATTTTTTCAACTCGAGCGTCAAATTCACGTGAAGCGTTCTCGCGGAAGCCAATCAGCGGTGAGGATCTCAGCCGCCGTCACTGACGTTCAACCACACAACATCAGCCGTTAGCTGTTAGCAGTTAGCACACAGAGCTCACAGCTCCTCATATCCGTTCAGAAACTGGACAAAAGTTAAACAAGTACAAACCACAGACTGTCTGTGTCATGGTGAATACAGTCGCTGCTTATTTATGTCTGTAGGCCGTTGTTATGAGTGTGGAATGAGCATATACAACGTTAGCTTAGCCTGGTTGACCCGATCTTCATTCAGAAAACAAGCATTTTAAAAGGTGTTTTGCCTGCCGTCTTGTCTGCAGACTTGTCAAAGCATTAATTCATGGTTGTTACTAACCGGTATCAGTATGTTGTTACTTCGGCATCATTTAGAAACGTGTATTACAATTTAATCACGGTAAAATATGTTCATTTGTTGTAGTTGTAGCTCCCGAGCCAGCGCGTCTTGTTTGAATTATGCGAGTAAACACAGCTGGCAGCCGCGGTGAACCTCCAGCGTTTAGAGCGATGCGATAGGAGCGATTAGAGCGAAGCGAATAGTCGCATCGCGTCCGGTGTGAACGCAGCATAAGGCGTACACTTACACTTACAGTCATTGCTTTCTGACGGACTTGACCCTTTTACTCTTCAGGTTGCATAGGGAAAATTAGTAGTGATGGGAATTATGGCTCTTTGAAGGGAGCCGGATCTTATGGCTCCGTTCCTTTCAAAGAGCCGTTCAAAAGAGCCGTTCAAAAGAGCCGTTGTTTTAAAGGGGGCAGGATTACTAGGTTTATCTGCGAAATAATCACCAGGATAATAATTGACTGTATTGCCAGACCTAATGTCAATAATCTGCATTGTAAACATGACACAAGGTGGCGCCATATCCATGTCATTCATGTCAGTGAATGTACTACTTTGAATTTACCCTCTGTATGTGATAAGTAAATAAAGTTGCCTTGCCTTGAATGAAATTCACGCAACTCTTAATATTAGATAGGCTACTGTGTTTTTAAGTGGCGATGGAGATTATTTGTTGACCCTGCTTTAAAGGATATGTTGCCTTTACAAATGGTGCGCTTTATCACTGCCTGGGTTTCGGTTGAAGTGCATCCAAATGCTGCTGCGCTTTCAATTTTGGCTCATTTTCCATCCGAAAAACACGTCGTCTACCTGTCCTGTACCACTTGGTATGACTTCTCTCTCTCGCGTATTCCGTTAAGACCAACCCCATCTCACTCCTCGTGCTGAAACCTACCAATCAGAGTAGGGGCGGATCTTCACAGAATACGTTTGGGGAACAAAATCAAGCTTTTTAAAAGGCGAGTGGATTTTGGCAGGCAGTGAGTGCGGACCAACGATTGAACGATAAAAAGAACGGCTCTCACCAAGTAGGACTCGGTTCCCCTCGTTCGTACCAAAGAGCCGTTCAAAAGAATCGGCTCGTTCAAAAGAATCGGCTCGTTCAAAAGAATCGGCTCGTTCGCGACCGACACATCACTAAACATTAGTAGCAGTCTACTGCCATGCTACTCAGTTCACTTTCTCCTACTTCCTGTACCCGGTTTCCTGTCTAACCTTCAGTACACATTTTACAAAAATATAAATGTGCAAATATGAAACATACAGGTCAATATCACCTTGCTATTGGTAGCTGAACTGTCAATACCCCAAAACATATTCTTAGATATAAATACCTAATTTTGAGTTATTTAGACACAATTAACACTTATAGTTTCATGTCTTGTTACATGTCTTGTGTTATTATGGGAGAATTACTATTCTTGTGGTACTACTGCCTTATTAGGCCCATATTGAGCAGCGCATATTAAGACCAAAACTCATGTACAACAACTTCCTTACTTGCAACAAATAAGCACTAATTAGAGGGTTATTGAGGAAAAACTCTCAACTAATGGCTTATTACTTGTAGAATAAGGTCATGCAGAATAAGGCATTAATAAGTGTTTTATAATGACTAATAAAGAGCCAATATACTGCTAATATGCATGTTAATTAACAACTGATTATGGTTCATTTGTGTACCTTCATATAAAGTGTTACCCAATAATTTGATAATATATAAATTGACTCAATCAAGCATAATATTGACTTTGTAATGTATCATTTTACACCACTACTGTGTCAGTACATCACATTCAAATCATTTTAAATGTTATGTTAATATGTTTTGTCCATGTTGGGTCATTGTTTTGTTTTCCTTTACTCATTAATTAATTTCTTACATTTATTAATTGTGAACTTTCTAAATGTGTTAATCAGCTGGATTGATTATGCTTTTAATCCATTAGTTCACAATTTTGCAATTACACTCATTGTTTTCCTAATATGTTCATCTACCCATCATTATGCTGTTCATCCATCTAATCATTCCTCCTACCGTTCCATCTCCTGTTTATTTCTCTTCACTTCATCAATCAATCATCTATCCATCCATCCCATAATCCATTCCTCCACCCACCTTGGCTCCAGTGGTTCAGCTGAATCTCCCTCCCCCCCCCCACAGTTCCCCTCCTTCCTCTCTTCGGTGCCGAGACGACAGAACTCCATGGCGCAGCGGTGGGAGGCCTCCCTATTAGCCAATCAGAAGAAGGAATGAGCAACGATACCGCTGAACTGTCAGCCAATGAAAAGCCCAAATGAAGCTCCACGCCTCCTTCAGTCCGTCAGCAGCTGATGTTGGGCTCAGTTGTGGCTTTAATCTGATTGGTCCGTTGTGTTGTCTGTTGGACGTCCTGTGACAAGAGGACTATTTTCATTTAGTGAGCTTGTTCCAAAGATGAAGGTCATTATCCTAGATAAGGTTTCCAAAATGCTTTCAAATCAAATGTCTGCAGACGTTGTTCTTATAACTTGTGTGGACTCCCAGGAGGCGCATCCCAATAATAACTGAGTATGAAATGGCAATCATATTTATACCACTGTTTTTTTAAATGTGACCTGGACTTTATGGATTTTAGAATCTGTGGTATTCTCCTTTAATATTCACAGCACTTTGATTTCTAGATGTTTATGAATTATTCTACTTCAAGTATTGGTATTAGATTTTTATGATAATGACTTGTGATGTGGGGATTAGAAAATCATTTTTGACTTTATTTTAAATAGTTCAAACACCGCTTATTTGAAAATATTGTAGCTATGCATAGATTTGAGAAGGTACATGCAAAAATGAGTTAGCATGTTGTGTTCTTTTCAAATGACATTCATGTCTTTTGAAAAGGTCCATGCTAGAATTTGAACATCACTGCCTGTGTGAAATGTTATTATAAGCCATCATTCAAAAGAGTTGCAGGTCATGTTGGCTGCTAACTAAATAACAAATAACTGGCACAGGGGAGCTTCTGGAGGCTCTTCTCTAAGAGGGATTGGTTGTAACCCAGTAGTGGTTAGGGAGGAAGCCATTTTGTGGGAAGAGAAAACATATTCTCTTTTCAGGAATATTGTAGTAGTTTCAAGCCATGCTTGTTTTCTTTACTCGCTCTACACCACAGAGCATTTTCTGATGTGTGTGACAAAACCAAGAAGAATACAGCATCAAGTTGAGCTCATTTTGAAAACAATGAAACCAGCTAGCTACCTTCAGTAATATGAGTTAAGGTTAGCCCCGTTTACCCCTTTGCCTTCACAACACAGCCTCTTATGTTCCAAACTACACTGAAGTCTAATCCCAGAGCTAGCAGGGCTGTACCATGTGTGTTTCTTTTGAACATTTGAAGCTTCTATTGAGGTCAGCTAAGTTACTGTAGCTTCCAACACCTCTTGTGATATAAGAATACAACCAAAATCCTCTAATGATCCCTTAGAGCTATTTAAAAAAAAATCTCAATATGGATGCCTGACACCTGATATGTTTGCTGCATACCAACCCAGTCTCACGGCATTTCGTGTTATAGGCACAACATTTATTTAATCTATTGATTCGTGTTCACCAACACGATTTTCCCCTTTTTTTCGTGTCACACAGAACGATTTTAAAAGCAATGTATTTCTATTGGTAGTATGTCTCGTCTTTTTGTCCGGTCGGGTCTTGGAATATCAGAAGCTGTGTGGTTCATAAAAACATGTTCTTACTCAATATCTTACCCTAAGCCTAACCATCCCTTTTATTTTAAATTGTATAATGTCTGAGTTTTTTTGCCGTCAGCGAGGAAAAGAAATGGCTCAGAGCCTCAGAATACTGAAATCTGTATTTTATGTCATCTTTTTTTCCTTCTAATTTGTTATTATTTGGTGCAGGCACGAAACATACTACCAATATAAATACATTGCTTCTAAAATCGTTCTGTGTCAGAATACTGAAATCTGTAATTTTTTTGTATCTGTTTTTCCTTCTAATTTGTTATTATTTACATTGCTTTTTAAATCGTTCTGTGTGACACGAAAAAAATGGCGAAATCGTGTTGATGAACACGAATCAATAGATTAATTTTGTGACTATAACACGAAATGCCGTGAGACTGTGTTGTGCATACATACATGCTAGCTAGCTTACAGCTCATTTCTGTTTGGTTGGTACATGAGGTGTTGGAAGCAACCAGGTTGTAAAAAAAACACTTAGCTGTCAAATATTAGCGAATACCTCAATAGGAATATTTACATTATTTCTGAAAACTCCTTAAAAACGAGCTGTAATAAGCAGATATTTGAAGACTGCTTTAGCATTACAGGTGTTAGCATGGTAGTCCCATGACACTGTCTGTGGCTCTGCTGGTTTAGCTTAACATCTCGAATGCTTCTGAAACATTCAGATATTCTAATGTAGTCTAGTGAAGAGTTTGACATATTTTTGTGTCCTTTCTTGATTCCTAAAAAGAGATTTCTTGTACCTGTATTTTTGCTGCATATATTTATTAATTGAGCAATGCTTGTAAATCCTTAAATATTTTATTTGTGAAACGTTTATAATATATTGTTTGAGAATGACTGTTTGAAGATGACGTCTGCCATGTTTATAAGAGATTACTTTTGTGTGCGGTGTGTGCATGTGTTTGTTTTATAGTACTCCATGCGTTAGCTAGTCGGAGCTCCCTTTAGTTTGGCTTCTCTAGCTCTGCTTTCCCCAGAGAACTCAACTGGACTGGCAATATTCAACTCGTGCTTTCAACTCAACTCAGAAATGGCAGATGAAAGTAGCAGGATGGAAATTAAATTAGTTAATGCCTTACATTATAAAATATACTGCAGAAGATCAAACCACGCTGTTAGCTTATGAACTGTGTTTAAGTTGCGAGTCACTGTGCAACGTGTAGCCTGTAGCTATATCTCTGCACTTCATTTTGAGAGGGGTTGGAATTTCCTCGAATCCCTCTTATTAGCAAACTACTTTTAATTTGAGTCTTTAGTTGCTTATTTCCTCCTCTTTCTTTCTATAAATGGGAATTTCATTTTTAGACTATAGCTTTCAAGGATATCCCCCTCATTTGGCTTTATATTGATTTATCTGCATTTTTGCAGAACATTTAGATGAGTTGTTTTTGTCAACCATCACTTCTATTTTATCCACACTGGGAAGAGATGCCTTCAGGGTCAGCATGGGCACACGGAACAGTAACTGCTAGATGAACCTAAATCATGGAAGAAGAATTAAGGTAGACTTGAACAAATATTGTATTTCCTTTAAAACAAATCTAGGGGCTGATGTCATATTTCATTCTGAGATGTATTGAATGCACAATAATAAGTGCTGTGTGTAAAGGTGGGCATGTCATGATGTAACTGTGTACATAATAAACTGTATGATAGTACAACTATCAGTAATACTTCATTACTCAACAACACTACTCTAGTTTGTAGAAGAAAGTGCATTTTGGTCTTGAACATTGCTAAATGTTCATGCTGCTTCTCAATGAACATGCTACCTGCTAATATTCTGTATGGACTCATATAAGCTGCTGTCCTGAACAGAACTGCTTTTCCTCATAGCCTAGCATTAACATGTATTCTGCTTCTGTTCATTTGCCTTGAGTGTCAGTCATATAATAATTGCCAAATAAAAAGGTCTGATGTTGACATCTTCAATAAAGCGTTACTCCTGAAACCTAACATGTGTTCAAGCTCTGTTTATCTTTAAGCAAATATGTCCACAGTCAGACACACACATACTGTATAAGTATATTTAAATGTTTTCCAAAAACAAGTCATGTGTTATATGCAGGTTGCAGAGAACAAGGCATCACCATTAGCAGTAGAGAAGAGGAAGATGCCACATGTTTGAGCAAGTGATGAAGCTGGATCACAGGAATATGAAAAGATATCAACAGTCTTATAATTTGTAATCAATACAAAAGCTTGTGATGTATGAAGACAGGAGGCAGTAGAAGCTCCTCGCAGAGGGATGGACCTGCTCCTTCACTCCTCAGTACCTGACACACACACACACACACAGACACACACACACATACGCTGTTTAAATTAAGTATGCGGGAAAAGGATATGCCCTAATAAAGAAAAGCTCTTCATAAAGGCAGAGGAGCAAGGTTTTACTCATTTAAAACTAATGAATACACCTTTACTCGTGAATTAAGAAAGTAATTATCCAAGTAAAAGATGTCTGATGTCAGCCCCCTCTAGTGTTGGAAGTCATCCATAAATGTTAAATCTTTGGAGGCCCATGTCAAGTTTACAAACGGGCGCAAAGGAACTTCAAACCTCCAGGCCCAATGCCATACAGTCATTCAGAAGTCAAACAGCCAATGCTATGCTAACTGAATGCTAACACAACGTTGGCTTATCATGCATTGTAAATCTAATGCTGTACACTATTTGAATTGACTTCAGATATTACATGTGTAGTGGTTGTTGTAACTGTAGTTCAGCAGTAAACAGTCAGCAGATGGCTACCTAACCCATTTCATGTTACTTGCTGATCTTTAGCGAAAAAGTCATGTGACTTTGTTAAAGACAATCGGTTGCGTTGTTGGTATCCTCCAAAGATGGCCGACTTGCTGTTGACAACGTCGATGTGAAGAGGTATATACACACACACACACACACACACACACACACACACACACACACACACACACACACACACACACACACACACACACACACACACACACACACACACACACACACACACACACACACACACACACACACCATGCTGTGATAAGGGTTAGTGCAGCACAGACACAAGCAGCCGTTAGTATCAATCAGTAACAAAAGGTTTATTAGTGACATTTAGGTAGAAAATGTGACAAGAATCTGAAGGTAAAAAGGAACTAAAAGAAAAGGGATTCAATTCCACACCTTCTTATATAATAATGACGGTAAGATAGAAATAATGAAGTATGTCTTGCTCTTTAATCATGTTTCACTGACATGTTTTACAAATGCATTGTGTAACATAATAATTGGTGTGAGCAGTGAAGAAACTAGAATGAAACCTACAAATGACTTCAGACCACACTTACGGCCCGTCCACACAGCGGCGTGCGTTGAAGCTTCAACGCTTCTGCCCATTCACTTTGAATGGGGTGACGTCACGCTTCGCCGAACTGCATTGTGGGAGCGAAGCGTAGCTTTGCTCGCGTTGCTCGCGTTGCTCGCGTTGCTCGCTGCAAAAGTTGAGCAATGTTCAACTTTTGAAGCTTCGGCGGAAGCGTCAGCCAATGGAATCATATGCCAGTACAAGCTCTAGCCAATCAAACCGCGTGCTTGTGTGTCCGGGGCGGGAGATTCATGTGATTGGTTGTTGGTCAAGTTTCAGCCCCCCCCCCACCGGCAAGCTTCAACGCACGCCGCTGTGTGGACAGGCCGTAAATGCTCAGTTTTTATACAAATGTAATGAAATAGTGCAGTCTAGTAATCAATTGAGATGATGAATGTTCCTGCTACCACTGGGTGTCTCTGAAACCAACTTTAGAAATGGTACAAAACACTGAACAATATTAAAAAAGCACACAATTCCATAATGAATGCTAGCTGAAATATATGTCATTTTGTGTGCAGTTCGTATAGCTGCCGATCATTATGAACTTTTTGTAACCCCCCCCCCTTGTCTTCAGAGTTCTGCAGAAGCTCAGTTTAGCTACAAGATACATGCGTTTCAGTGAGTGATAAGGTTAGCACACCTGTCACTCAGCATGCATCAGTTAGCCGTTAGCTTGTTAGCAGACAGTGCAGCAGGGTTTGTGTTTTTTCTGGATCTTTCTGATACCTGGCCCCCCGCGCCTCTCTTTCCGTCTGTCTCCGACTCCCTGTGCACGGCCCACGCTTCCAGTGGCTGAACTTCCTGTTGAACTGCTGCGCTGCTTCTCCTCCACGCAGGTGTCCTCATCTTCGTCCTCGATGATGACCAGCTCTGCCCTCAGGGAGCTCTCGAACTCGTGTCCCCGCCCGCTGTCGTCCTGTGCCATCTTGAAGCCCATGAAGACGGCTGTGATTGGCTCAGTGGTGTCAATGACGTTGAGGATGGTGTAGTGGGTGTCGTCTCCGTAGAGGGGGGAGGGCACTCGGTCAGAGGGGGCGGGGCCAGTGTACATGGCAGTGGAGGGTCTGTGATAGGAGGCGGGGCTGCAGCTATACAGTTCTTCTTCGTCTACACTGATGTAATCACTAAGAGGAATATGATTGGCTGGAGTGTAGGAGAGCTGTGGTTGGTAGGCAGACACTGCTTCCTGGTCATGTGACCTCGGAGGAGGGCAGTCTCTGGCTCTGCCTCCATTCACCACACTATTGCTTCTAACGATGCTGGTTTTGTGGTGGCTAGCAGGCCGATCTTCCTGAAGACGGTGACCGTTTCTCACGTTGTGCGAACTGTGGTGAGAGTCCTTCTGGTTACCATCGTGATCTCCCATCCCCTTGTGGCTTCCATGGCGATGACCTTCCCTCATGTTGCTTTTGTTGTTTCTGTCTTCATGCCGTCTGTAATGGCTCTCATGACTGCTGCTATGATCTGCCACTGCTTTTTCCGGACACTTCCCCCTGCAGTCTTTCTCCGTCATGTTGACCCTGACGGGATGGATCCCATAATATCCTTGCTGGTCTCTCAGGTCAAACCTCTCTTCTTCCCCTCTCCGCTGTTGGTGGTTGGAGAAGCTTCTGCTGTGGTTTAGGTGGACGTTTTGCTGCTTTACTTGGCGATGCATTGTGGCGCTTCTCAGCAAATGTTCCACCTCGTTGGCTGTCAGCTCCGACACACAGCCTTGATCATGGGACCCCTTAAGATAGAAAGGAATAGAGGTCATTATTAGGAGAACACAATGAGTGATCAATACAAAAAGTGGAAAAAGCAGGTAGTAGGCATTAGAGGCACTTAGAGGCATTGGCCCAGCCATGCCTCTAAGTTATTCACAATGCTGCAGTAAGACTGGTCATTGGAACAATACAAAAAGTCCCATAAATCCCATTTTGGCTACCTTGCATTTACTTATAGTTGATTTAAGAATGAATCTTAGGGTTTATGTACTTTCTAAGCACTCCATTGTCTTGCTCCAGCACACTTTTGTCTATTTGTACGTACATTAAACCTCAAGTCAAAACTCTGCTATTTGTCCCCTAAACTAGGCTTACGTGAAAGGTTTGTATTTGCCTTTAGTGACCTCCTTTACATATCTACTAAAAACTATTCTTCATAAACTCTCAAGTCCATGTATTCATAATTACTGTATAGCCTGTAACTTTTTCACTTCCACTCATACTGCACCAATCTGTTTTGCTTTCAAGCTTTTTAAAAGATGCTTTTCAAAAGTGTTACGTGAATACGGGTTATTATTTAATAATACCTCTTGTGAATTTAAGGCAAACACACACTTCCTGCCGTCGTCATAAACCTTGAGCCCGGCCTGCTGGCTTAGCTCCTCAGCAGGAACGGCAGCAGTAGAGAGCACCGTGCTCTTCCCGGTCTTCAGGTCTTTGGTCACACTGATCTCCATGGCAAACAGAGCTGGGACTCAGAAGAAGGACAGGCAGAGTTAGTAATATCACTTTATGTTGGCCAAACCTCATCTGAATAAATGATGACTCTGCAAACATTTTAATTGCTAAGGTTGAAAGCTTGATACAGTTGCTAACACAGTTGTGGCTATCTGTTGCAACCTTTTGCAACCTGTTGCTAACTGTTTCTAACTGTTGCTAACTGTTTCTAACCGTTGCTTATGGTTGCTCACTGTTGCTTTCTGTTGCTTATTGTGGCTATCCAACCCAGTCTCACGGCATTTTGTGTTATTAGTCACAAAATTAATTTAATCTATTGATTCGTGTTCACCAACACGATTTTCACATTTTTTTCGTGTCACACAGAACGATTTTAAATGCAATGTATTTCTATTGGTAGTATGTTTCGTGCCTGCAACACGTCTTTTTGTCCGGTCGGATCTTGGAAGACCAGAAGCTGTGTGGTTCATAAAAACATGTTCTTACTCAATATCTTACCCTAAGCCTAACCCTATCCCTTTTATTTTAAATTGTATAATGTCTGAGTTTTGTTGCCGTCAGTGAGGAAAAGAAATGGCTCAGAGCCTCAGAATACTGACATCTGTATTTTATGTCATCTTTTTTTCCTTCTAATTTGTTATTATTTGGTGCAGGCACGAAACATACTACCAATAGAAATACATTGCTTCTAAAATCGTTCTGTGTCAGAATACTTAAATCTGTATTTTTTTAAATGTCTTTTTCCTTCTAATTTGTTATTATTTACATTGCTTTTAAAATCGTTCTGTGTGACACGAAAAAAATGGCGAAATCGTGTTGGTGCACGAATCAATAGATTAATTTCGTGACTATAACACGAAATGCCGTGAGACTGTGTTGGGATATCTGTTGCAACATGTTGCAACCTGTTGCTAACTGTTTCTAACTATTGCTTACGGTTGCTCACTGTTGCTTTCTGTTGCTTATTGTGGCTATCTGTTGCAGCCTATTGCTAATTGTTGCTTACTGTTGCTTACTGTGGCTTACTGCTGCTTACTATTGCTAACTGTTGCTTACTGTTGCTAATTGTTGCTTACTGTTGCTTACTGTGGCTTACTGCTGCTTACTATTGCTAACTGTTGCTTACTGTTGCTAATTGTTGCTTACTGTTGCTAACTGTTGCTTACTGTTGCTAATTGTTGCTTACTGTTGTTAATTGTGGCTATCTGTTGCAGCCTATTGCTAATTGTTGCTAACTGTTGCTTACTGTTGCTAATTGTTGCTTACTATTGCTAACTGTTGCTTACTGTTGATCTGTTGCTAATTGTTGCGTACTTTTGCCAATTGTTGCTAACTGTTGCTTACTGTTGATATGTTGTTAATTGTTGCTAACTGTTGCTTACTGTTGCTAATTGTTGCTTACTATTGCTAACTGTTGCTTACTGTTGTTAATTGTTGCTTACTATTGTTAATTGTTGCTTACTATTGCTAACTGTTGCTTACTGTTGATCTGTTGCTAATTGTTGCGTACTTTTGCCAATTGTTGCTAACTGTTGCTTACTGTTGATATGTTGTTAATTGTTGCTAACTGTTGCTTACTGTTGCTTACTATTGCTACTGTTGCTTACTGTTGATATGTTGCTAATTGTTGCTAACTGTTGCTTACTGTTGCTTACTGTTGATATGTTGCTAATTGTTACTTATTGTTGCTTACTTTTTATTACTGTCGCTACCTCAGTCTTAGTGTCCCCACTGTCATTATATTCGGAGAGCTGAATAATGTGGCAAGAGGACCTGAGGCCTGTACTACGAAGCCGGATTTTCGCTTAGCCGGCTAACTTCAGGGAAAACTCGGGCTTTCCGGTCCTACGACGCTGGTTCTCTTTTTAGCAGGCTAGATCTCCATGGTAACTTATGCTGAGCGGCTAGCCGGGGGCCTATACTACGAAGCAAGATTTTCGTTTAGCAAGCTAACTTTTTCGGTTTCCGGTCCTACAAAGCTGGTTCACTTCTTAGCGGGCTAGATAACTTATTCTGAACGGCTAGCCTCCGGAGCAGGATAGGTTCCAGGATAAAAGCACTGCCTGCTGACCAATCAGAGCTCATTGTGCGGAGTTTAAAGCGATCAATTCATATGACAGGAGAAAGGAAATATAGTTTAAACTGCCGTTGCAGGAAAGACGGCCGGCCAAAACCACCGACTGTGTGAGCGTGAATAGAATATCACCTCCCATCTTCAGAGCAATCTGACTATTATAACATTAGCGTTAAGAAAGCTTACTTAAATATCTGCCACAACATAAGTAACCGGATCAAAGTAACATTACGTAGCCTACAGTCCGCGGCACTGTGAGTGCAGACGGCGATGTGTCCCATTATCATTCATCACATGATATCATATCATAATGTATCATATATTTCCTTATGAGTCAGCTTCTTGAGCCGTATCTGGCCGTGCAACACTCACAGTGTCACATACTGTATGCAGAAGTATTATTTTAAGCAACACATTAAGTTGACGAAACACTCGAGTAAAATGTAATTAAAGTCAGATCGTGTCTTAGACGGGGCAGCAGTGATATCATAAACCTGTTAATGTACGCATTCAAACACTTTTTCTTTTACCAGCAGTATTCACCTTGCAGGTGCAGCTATGTGGCTTTTATCCTGGATAAAGTGTTTAAGTCATGGATGTTTAAAGTTTAACGTCTTCATATTTGTCTAATATTAGTTGACTTTTCATTCAGGAAATATATGACGCGCTGCGCTGTCAGTACACGGCTTGTCCATGTTTGTGATTGGTCGAACACTCCAAATACCACCCCTTTTATGTGAACGCGCACCTAACTAGATAGGACATGGCTGGCTTGAGCGATCGAGTTGATAGCCAGCGTCGTAGGACCGTTTAGCGAGAGCGTTTTTTTTTGGGATTTAGTCAACCGGATAACTCAAAACATATCCAGGATATGTTGAACTAGATTCGTAGTATACCCCCCTGCTCCGGAGCAGGATAGGTTCCAGGATAAGAGATCAACTCAGTGAAAGCACCGCCTGCTGACCAATCAGAGCTCAGTGTGCGGAGGAAATACAGTTTAAACTGCCGTTGCAGGAAAGACGGCCGGCCAAAATCACCGACTGTGTGAACGTGAAAATGAATAGAATATCACCTCCCATCTTCAGAGCAATCTGACTATTAGCCTATAACTATTATACTATTATTATACTATTATGTTAAGAAAGCTTAAAGGTAGGGTAGGTAAGTTTGAGAAACCGGCTCGAGATACACTTGTTGTTATATTCCATGGAATGCTCTTAACATCCCGATAGCAATGAATATCAACCAGCGTCGTAGGACCGCTTAGTGAGAGCGCGTATGTTTTGGATTAGGCCAACCGGCTAACTCAAACATATCCAGGTTATGTTGAACCAGCTTCGTAGTACAGGCCTCTGATCTTCTGCAGGTCAACTCAAAGTTGCTGATCAACCTTGTACCTTGGTATTCAAGCCAAACCAGGACTCTCTATGGAGTTATAAGTGAAAGCATTGTCTGAATCCCTAAACGTATCCAAGAATGGGCACAACAAAGCAGACATAGAACACAAGGGCAAAACTCTAAAAGGATGCAGATGTAGATCAAGGCCTCAAATGTCCATACCTGCTTGGCACTTCAACCCAACATATATTTTGGTGAGCCCAAAACCTTTCAAATATCCCCATCTTCAAACAATCACCGGTGAGAGAGGTAGCTTTGACTCAGCAGTGTACAAAGTTACAATGGATTTGAATGCTGGCCATTTTTTATAAGGAAAAAGTACCAAAGTGTCCATTTTATGCTCAGTATGATTGGTTCTCTGCTATCACACTATGGGACTATGGCTAAATCCGTTTATATATCAAAGCCGATAGATTGCAAAGTACAAAGTGCTTTGTGGGACTTTACAGGAAGTTATAAACATGAACTCACTCTGTCTTGGCTTGCTTGTTTCAGAGTGGTTGTTGGATGGTGTACTGTAGGATTGTAGGACATCATGGGTCACTGTGGTGACCTGTAAAGGCTCTGTTGGACAGAAAACAGAGTTATTAGCACAGGTTTATTTTTCCTGTTGGTTAAAACAGCTACATGACACTGTATCATGACTTACCATGAACAAAGCTGTCCTGGGCCTCCTGCAGGACACACACAAATCCGTAAAACAAATGATGGAAGCACTAAAACACTGCTGTGTGTGTGTGTGTGTGTGTGTGTGTGTGTGTGTGTGTGTGTGTGTGTGTGTGTGTGTGTGTGTGTGTGTGTGTGTGTGTGTGTGTGTGTGTGTGTGTGTGTGTGTGTGTGTGTGTGTGTGTACCTTGATAATGTCCCCTGCACTTTTCTCCACAGTCTTCAGTCTGTTGAGGATGAAACTCTCTTTGGTAGAAACCTTAGATTCCTCTCTCTCCAGAGACTTCACCTCCATTTCTATCCTGAACGTTCAGAGGAGAGAGTGCACGTTCATCAGCTCATACTGTGTGTGTTTGTGATTGTGTGTGTGATGTGTGAGTGTGTGTTGTACCTGTGGATGTTGAGCTGAAGGCTCTGTTGCTGTGAATAATCTGTTGCATTGTGGGAAGTGGACTCCTGTAGCAACCACTGCTCTCTCAAAGCCTTTTTCTGATGAGTACAAAGGACAAAGCAGACAAAAGTTTAAATATGTGGCCTGCAAATATCCTCTGATGTTATTGAAAAAAATTGACAATGTCTCAGTTAGGGCTGGGAAATATAAGGAAGATCAAATGTCAACATACTGTATTTTTTCAACTAAATACCTTACTATCAAAATTGCAACTATATTTCGTGGTTGGGAGTTTGGGAACATTCGAAAATAACACAATTTTACTGCAAAACAGCCTGTTAACTAGGAGAAAAAAATACTCAAGATAGGACAATATTCAAAATCTAAGACAATATCTAGTCCCTGGTCACAATGTCGATGTTGATATATTGCCCAGCCCTAGTCTCAGTGTAAAACAGTGTGTAGTGAACCTTTAGATGCTGAAGTTTGAGTTTCTCTTGGTCCAGTTCCAGTTTCTTCTGTCTCATTTCTTCCTGAATGTAATGCTTCTCCTGTTATTAAAGACATACAGTGAGTGTACAGAGCAGTGACAAAAGGTTCCAACAATGAAAAGTTGTACAGATATATCCCACATTACTGTGTGACTCTCACAGATGTAGAGTAAAGCCTTACAGTGATGGCCTGTAGCCTCTCCTTCAGCAGGACACACTCCTCCATACTGCTGCACCAGAGAGTCAAACTGAGAAGAAAAGAGACAATTTTAGATACCATAATTATTTCACCAAAAAACTGCTCAGTTTTAAAGACACTCAAAATATCCGCTGTCCCGCTAATTTAAAGATCCCATGTCTTGGCCATTTCTACTGATCATAATTCCATTGTTGAGGTCTACTAGAATAGATTTACATTGTTCAATGTTCCAAACTCACATTGGTTTCTCATACAGCATCTCTGTATAGTATGTGTATTCACTCTCTGTCCTAAACGGCTTGTTGGAGCTCCTGCCCCCCCCTCCCTATGAGCCCACTGTGCTCTGATTGGTCAGCTCGCCCACTCTGTTCTGATGAGTCCACCACTGTTACAGCTGAACATCAGTGATTATGTGTTACAATGGCGTTTGTTAGCAACCAGAAAATGACACCAGTAATGACAAACAGATGAGAATGCTGCGTGGGGTCTGGGTGCCGTGTTGGCGGGACGCTAGCCCACACAAGCCGGCAATTCCAACACTACTTATGGCAAATGTCCGTTCACTGGATGGACAACGTACGTCTACTACGATCAACCCAGCGTAAGGTGAGGGACTGCTGTGTTTACGTGTTCACGGAAACATGGCTTCACAAGAACATCCCGGACTCCGCTATTCAGATAGACAAGCTAACATGCTACCGAGCAGACAGGAACAAAGATAGCGGGGGGAATAAGACTCAGGGCGGCGGTGTGTGTGTGTACATCAGTGACGCTTGGTGTTGAGACACTGTTGTTGTTAGCCAACACTGTTCGCCACTGGTGGAGTTTATGGTTCTAAAGTGCCTGCCGAGGGAGTTTACAGCGATTCTTGTGGCAGCTGTATATATCCCCCCAAACCCCAGCATTCACACCAACGGTGTTTCGGGGCCGGTTCGGAGCTGGAGCTTGAAAAGCACCGGGTTTTCCTGTTCACACCGCAGCGGAGCAGCCTCTAAGCTCCGGAATCCGGTTCGTTTCGAGCACCAAAAAGTTGTCCGTCTAGAAGCAAGAACCGCATACGTCACGCTTACGTCGGAGGGGGGCGAGATTAACCTGAGCTAACAGTTATGGCGAGTACGGCAAATAAAAGTTGTAACAAGCAGTAGCGCTGAGCAAAGTGACTAGAACGCAACCACACACTTGTAAAAAAAAACACGCTTTATAAAGTCAGGCAACACTAACCAGGCTTCGTGTGATTCTGTTTATTTGTACCTTACTTTGACCATCCGTTCGCTGTTATTGATCATTGTGGAGAGCAGGCAGACGTTTTGTTTGTTATTATAGCAGCTATCGGATGGAATCAATACATGGGCTGCACAGGTTGTCATGTCCGACTATCACAAGTAGAATCATAATGAAAAATACGCCGGTAAAAAGTGCCTGTAGAAAACGGCTTAGCAAGTAGTCAGTTTAGCTTCGGTTGCTATGCTAACATCACCCATGTTATACCAGAGAAACTTTCATAACAGCGTTGTGATGCCAAACAGCGTCAATTCAGACTGACACACATTCACTTAAGGGGAACTGGGGATATGTATCAGCTGCTTGTGTGACAGTCAGACAGTGAATACTTTAGAGCCGTGTGAGCTAACCCGGAGCTAACGGGAGAATACACTCCCGTGGAAGAGCAGCCAGCACTGCAGCGGTCGGTAAATGCCGCTGAAACACATTAATAAACAATGAACCACGGCACTCTGGAGAAAAGTATAAGGTTGGAGAAGTCGTTATTTAATTTAATCTGGCTTCGTATGATTAAAAGCAACACGATCATCGACCCGACGCAGTCCCCGGCTCGTTGTTGTTGTGAGCTCCGTTGGGGAGAAAATCAGCGACGTAAACTGTGACGTCATGACGCAGCAGCGGCAGCAACAGTCGGGCTCTGAGCGGTGTGAACAGAGCGGGAGCTGAACCGAAGAACCGGTTCTGAACCAGAAAAGCTCTAGCACGGAGCTAGAACGGGAAAAGCCTTGGTGTGAAAGGGGTATCAGAGACTGCTTTGACACTACAGACTGGGACATGTTCAAGTAGGCAGCCACATACAACCATCACACCAACATACAAGAATACACAGAGACAGTCACGGGCTACATCACCAAATGCATTGACGATGTGACACAAAACAGAGCCATCACCATCCGGGCTAACCAGAAGCCATGGCTGACAGGGGAGGTCCACACGCTGCTGAAGGCCCGCAACATCGCCTTCAGAGCTGGAGATCCAGCTGGGCTGACCTGTCCCGTGGCATCAGGAAAGCAAAACAAGAATACACCCGAGAAATTACAGGACACTTCAAGGATAGCAGGGACTCACGGAGCCTGTGGCAGGGCATAAGGACCCTAACGGACTACAAACTACCGCCACAGACCTGTGACAGTCATACCTCCCTGCTCAACAACCTCAACGGCTTCTTTGCACGCTTTGAAGCACAGAACAACACACCTGCGCAGAAAACCACCCCCCCCCCCCCACCGACGACCAGGCTTTGCGTCTTTCACCAGCCAGTGTGAGGAGCACACTGCTGAGGATTAACCCCTGCAAGGCTGCAGGACCTGACAACATTCCTGGTCGTGTGCTGAGGGACTGCGCAGAAGAGCTCACAGATGTCCTCACAGACATTTTTAACATCTCCCTGACCCAGGCTGTTGTTCCCTCGTGCTTCAAGGAAACCACCATCATTCCAGTGCCAAAGAAGTCATCTCCATCCGGCTTCAACGACTACCGCCCCGTCGCACTAACCTCTATCATCATGAAGTGCTTCGAAAGGCTGGTCATGAAGCAGATCAAATCCACCCTCCCCCCATCGCTGGACCCGTTTCAGTTTCCCTACCGAGCTAAACGGTCCACAGAGAATGCAATCTCCTCCGCTCTCCACCCAGCCCTCACACACCTGGAAACTAAGACTAACGGCCCGTCCACACAGCGGCGTGCGTTGAAGCTTGCCGGCGGGGGGGGGGGGGCTGAAACTCGACCAACAACCAATCACATGAATCTCCCACCCCTGACACACAAGCAGCAGTTTGATTGGCTAGAGCTTGTACTGGCATATGATTTGATTGGCTGACGCTTCTGCCGAGGCTTCAAAAGTTGAACATTGCTCAACTTTTGCAGCGAGCCACGCCAGCAAAGCTCCGCTTCGCTTCCCACAATGCAGTTCGGCGAAAAGTGATGTCACCCCATTCAAAGTGAATGGTGAAGCTTTCAACGCACGCCGCTGTGTGGACGGGCCGTAAGACTAAGACTAAGGACCCATATGTTAGAATGCTATTTATAGACTTCAGCTCAGCATTCAACACCATCATCCCCCAGCAGCTTGTACAAAAACGTACAGACCAGGGCCTCAGCCCCTCTCTCTGTAACTGGTTGCTGGACTTCCTCACAGAGGGACCACAAGCTGTACGGGTCAACAACAACACCTCAGACACCCTCATACTGAGTACGGGGGCCCCCCAAGGATGTGTGCTCAGCCCCCTTCTCTTCACTCTGCTGACCCACGACTGCAAACCCAACTTCAGCTCCAACCACATCGTGAAGTTTGCAGACGACACTACTGTGGTGGGTCTCATCAGCAACAACGATGAGACTAACTACAGGAAGGAAGTGAACCAGCTGGCCCTGTGGTGCCAAAATAACAACCTCTTCCTCAACCTGGAGAAAACAAAGGAGATAGTTGTTGACTTCAGGAGAACCCACCGTCGACCCCCTCTCCCCCTGACCATCAACGGCGCAGGTGACCAGCACCAAATTCCTTGGGGTGACCATCACTGATGACCTCACCTGGAAAAACAACACCACCGCACTAGCGAGGAAAGCCCAGCAGCGCCTGTACTTCATCCGGAAGCTCAAGCGAGCCGGAGCATCACCCCCCATCATGCTGTCTTTTTACCGAGAGCATCCTCAGCAGCTGCATCACGCTGTGGTTCGGAAGCTGCACCGCCGCCGACCGCAAGAGCCTGCAGCGCATTGTGAACTCTGCTCAGAGGATCATCGGTGCCTCACTCCCCTCACTACAGGACATATACAACACCCGCCTCACCCGCAAAGCACTCAGCATTGTGGGTGACTCCACCCACCCCTCCAACAGCCTCTTCAGCCTCCTGCCTTCAGGAAGAAGGTTCCTCAGCCTCAGCTCGGGCACCTCCAGGATGGGCAACAGCTTCCTCCACCAGGCGGTCAGGTTGCTGAACTCTCTCCCCTCCCTCCCTCCCTCTCTCCCCCTCTCTGACATCTCTCCCCTGAACTCTCCACCCTGCCTCCGACCTTTCTCCCCTGCCCCAAATGGTCCTGGAGTTTAACCCCCCCCCCCCCACACTCCGTGGATTGGTAGTTACGTCAATATGACCAGGAAGAAAAAAATGTAAAAAGAGAAATCTCCAACGAGGCGTTCTGGGGCAGCAGAGACAGGTATTTTCTGTGTTAGAGTTTTACTCGCTACAGGGTGTACTTTGAGGGTTTGTGACTTTGCAGACCACAGCCTGTATTCAATCAGAGACAACTGGGGACAGAATCCCTGCCTTAACTACAGCGGTGTGTGTGTGTGTGTGTATGCACATGTATGTGTGTGTGTGTTGTGTGTGTGTGCGTGCATGTAAATGTGTGCCCCCATACAGTCTCAATTAGTGTTTTGATCATGTTTTATTACTCCCTGAATATTTTAACATGAACAATAAATATTCATGTTAATTATAAATAATGTGACTCTAGATGTACTGTAAGGTATACTGTCAATGACTGTTGATACATTCTTTTATTCTGTGAACTATATATCAAGAACGTACGAGCTGCTTTATCAGGAATATGTGTGACTTCCTGTTCACTGGGTAAACCTTTCTTTCTGTCAGGGTGTCAAGAGTGCTGTCTGCAGCTGTGGGTTATGTTACTGCCTTGTTTGTTTTTTTAATAGCTTTTTCTGTCGTTAAAATATAGCTTACAGCTAACCTTAAAAATATAGATTTCTGATCTTTTACTTTGACATGATGGATTTCCTAATTGCCTTTCTGCTCTGAATA